TTTATGAAAGAGGGAATCAATGGTGGTGCACTTCCCCTCAAATATCCTTTTATTCCTCTCATCCCAGATTATATAAACCAGAATACCAAGGGAGGCTCTCCTCATTCTTCCAACAGCATTGTTACCGATTCTTGAGAGACCCCGAATGGCACTGAGCAGAGAAGACATGGTCCTTGATATACGAAGCCAATTTTTAATCTTAAGCCAAAGAGAAGAGGTCCAAGTGCAACCAAAGAACAGATGGCTATGACTCTCTTCTTCCACTTGGCAGAAGACACAAGAGGAATCAGTTTGGAGAAAGTGGAGTCTACCTCGCGTGCAAAGCCTTCCCAAAACTGCCAACCACAGGATAAAATTGTATCTGGGCATGGACCAAGACTCCCAGACAACTTTTCTCCACCGGACAAGAGAGTTACGAACCCGAAGAAAATCATAAGCATGAGCAGTGAAAGGACCTGTAGAGGTGCTCCAGTGAGCCATCAGAGAGACAGTATTGGATTGACCACCTCCCATTTCAACAAGATTATCACGTAGGATGATGATGGATTTCCATAAAGGCGAGGAAGTTGGGGAAGCTCCGGTGTTCCAAATGGAGTGAGAATGTAAATAGTAATGATGGACCCATTGAATCCAAATGGAATCAGCTTTAAGATGAATTTTCCATATGTGTTTAGCAAGATAACTGTTATTGCGAGCCTTTATGTCAAACAAGCCTAGGCCACCTTCAGCTTTAGGAAGACAAACTGTACGCCAAGCTACCAAAGCAGATTTACTCCTAGAGACATTGCCAGTCCACAAGAAATTTCGGCAGAGACTCGTGATTTGCTTGATAACAGTATCGGGGACAGGGAATATATTCAACCAAAAGTGAACCATGCCAAAAAGGACTGATTTGAGAAGCTCCACTCTCCCAGCATAGCTAAGATGCTTCCCCAGCCAACCATAAATAGTAGAGTGAATCTTGTTGAGAAGGGGAGAGAACTGACTGGCTAGGAGACGGTGGGGACTTGAGGGAACGCCAAGATAGCGAAATGGGAAGGATCCCTCAACGAAGCCAGTGTCCTGGAGAATGAGCTGCTTAATGCTGTCTGTGACTCCGCCAAAAAATATAAAGGATTTGTTGGCATTAATCTCTAGACCGGAAACCTCTCCAAAAGAAACTAGTTGCGAAAAAAGAGTAGAAACTAATTGCCTATCTCCTCTTGAAAGTAGGATCACATCATCTGCAAAAGCAAGATGGGAAATGCCTAGAGAATTACATTTGGGGTGGAACCGAAAGCCAGGAGATAGAGAAGCCATACGAAGCATTCTGGAGAGATATTCCATGCATGCAAGAAAGAGATATGGGGATAAAGGATCACCTTGTCGAACCCCATTCTTCCCTGGAAAGAAGCCAAAGATGCTACCATTAACGGCTACAGAATATGAAGTAGTCTCAACACACTGCATAATTAAGTGAACGAAGTGGTTGGGAAAACCAAGCATTAACAAGAGCTGTCGAAGGAAAGGCCATTGGACTGAATCAAAGGCTTTTCTAAAATCAATCTTCAACAAGCAACGGGGAGAAGATCTTTTCCTTTCATAATCTCGGAGAAGCTCTTGGAGCAAATGAATATTGTCAGCCATAAGTCTACCACCCAAAAAAGCGTTTTGCATAGGACTAATAATATTTGAGAGAGCATGAGATAGTCTCACTGCAAGGAGCTTAGCAATGACCTTATATATAACATTACAGCAGGAAATCGGACGAAAATCAGAGGCAAAAGAAGAGTTGGTAGATTTAGGAATTAAAGCAATGATAGAGTGATTGATTTGCTTAAGCATGGCGCCAGACTCAAAGAAATCCCTTACTGCACGGCAGAAATCCCCACCTATAACATCCCAAGACTTTTTGAAAAAACAAGATGAGTAACCATCAGGCCCTGGAGCTTTATCATCATCAATAGCAAATAGAACATTCTTGATGTCCAAATCAGTGAATAGAGCAAGAAGAGAAGCGTGAGTGTTAGCATCCAGGCAAGGGCCATGCTGAATGACAGAGCTATCAAGAGGAAGGGTGTCTTTAGATGTGCCAAGTAAGTGGCTAAAATAATCAACAAACACCGTCCCCACTTCATCAATAGAAGTAGTAATAGTGCCATCACTACGATGAATTGCCGGAATATAATTCTGCCAATGCTTCCTGCTCATTAGTGCATGAAAAAAAGAAGAGCCTTGGTCACACTCTTTGAGAAAAGTAAATTTGAGCTTTTGAGAGAAAAATTGACGTTCAGCTGCTTTGAGATGAAGAAACTGTTGCCGAAGGAGCTTATCCGCTGCGAGGAGTTGAGGATTATCTTTGTCATTAGAGAAGATAGTTTGATGGTGGTCTAAGGCTGCCTCTGCACGAGCAACCCTAGCAGAGATATGACTGTAGTGCAGTCTATTGAGTTCTCTTAGAGGCCCTTTAAGAGCTTTGAGCCGCTTACAAAAGGTGAACATAGGCGACCCATAAAAATCATGATGCCAGTTAGCTGCAACCAAGTCTGAGAAGCTGTCATGGTGAGTCCATATATTAAAGAATTTGAAGCTCTTCTTACCAATAAGAGACCTAGACTGGAGAGTGACAGTAACAAGAGAATGATCAGAGAAAGCACCAGGATTGTCAAAATGGACGTGAGCAGAGGCATGAGCTGGAGACCAAAGTGAATTAACGAGAGCACGATCAAGTTTGGTCCAGACCTTGCCGTTGGACCAAGTGTAGTGGCATCCAGAATAATTTAAATCTATTAGCCCCATATCTGAGCAACACTGCCTGAAGTCTGCAGTCTCATAAGTGGACACTGCTTCCCCATTATGCTTGTCATCTTGAGATAAAACAAAATTGAAGTCGCCTAAAATAATCCAAGGGGAATTGGGACTCCAGTTTCTCAAGTCACTCCAAAGAGTTCTCCTAGCAAGTAGAGTATTAAAACCATAAACGAAGGTGGCATAAATGCTGAACTGATGAACCCGACTAGAGATAAGAACATGAAGACCTTGAGCTGAAACGTCAAGTAATTCAACATGAACAGTAGCAGGGTTCCAGAAAACTACAATGCGAGCTGATGAGGCTACTTCTGCATTGGAATGAACTTTCCATTTCTTCAACCAAAATTGCTGCATCGAAGATACTTTAGACAAAGCTAATTTAGTTTCCAAAAGACCACAAATATCTAAGTTATGTTTCCTCATGAGGTTGACGACCTCATGCTGTTTCAGAGGGTTATTTAACCCCCTGATATTCCAACAACGAATAATCATCAAGAGTGGGGGATGGGAGGCAACCCCTTACCCCTGCCAGAAACACCATTGGTGAGCTGTTGAGCCCGTTTGCTTATGGGCATCCTAATTGAACAAGATGTGCACTAACCTGGTGCGCTTATAGCAACCACAGATTTGCCATGAGTAGTCCCAGAATCCACTTCAAGAGGGGGTGCTGATATGGTGTGAATGACAGGTGTTGAGGGATGAAGTTGGCTTTCCTCCTGAACCGGATGAGTGGCTTTGTGAGATAGGTGAGAGTCCACCTGACGGGATTTCAAAGAATCCCTTGAGGGGGAGTGCTTGCGTCTCCCTTTTTTCCGTTGAACAACTTCCCATCCATCAGGATTAGATGTAGCATCTCGTCTCATGGTGTCCAACTCAGTCTCAATCGGAGTTGAATGGGGAATAGAAGCATTCGGCAAGCTTACCTCTGGCTTGTCATTCACAGAAGGACCTTGTTGAGGTTCCAGACAATTGCAAACAGAATTCCGGCCTGTGGGAGCAGGGGCAACAAAGACAGATGTCTTTGGATTTGTTGTAATATTAGAAGTCGGGATGTTGGTGCAAGTGGAAGTTAAATGTCCAAGTTTTCTACAATGCTTGCAGAAACGTGGGAGAGTTTCATACACAACTTGTTGATGAAGTATGTGGCCATTCGGCAAAGTAACTTCAATGGAGGAAGGCAGATCAGACAGTAAATTTACTTCAACCAATACTCTGGCATAGGAAAGTCTGGCCATAGAAGCAGTAAACATATCACTTTGAACAGGTCTGCCAAGAACACTAGCTATTTTTGATAAGCATTTGAGTGACCAACATTTAAGTGGGAGATTAGGGAATTTAACCCATACCGGAACAGTGTGCATCTCTGTAGATGAGAATTCAAAATACTCTGTCATTGGCTTAAGGATGAGAGGCCTACCATAAACTAAATAAGGACCACCATCTAAAACATGCGATTTGTCAGCATCATTGTCAAAAGTAAAAATCAACCAACCAGAATCATGGATAGTTATGGATGCCTCACATTGCCATGTGTTGACAATGAGATTCTGCAAAGCTTTAAAGCCTGGTGAACGGCCAGCAATATAACCAACAAGGCAACGCTTCCAAAGATCACATTTAATGTCTAAGTCATCATCAAATAAATTACAGCCTCGAGTATCAGTAAAAGCAGAATAATGGAGGAGCTTAGGGCAACGAGTATTGTCACGATTAGAAACAAACAGATTACGCCAAGAGCTAGAAGAAGGCTCAAAGTGGTTGGGATTACCACTTACCACATGATCCACAAGAGCTGACTTGGAGTTAGTGGGAACTGACGTGGTGCATGTGGCCTTGGCAACAACATCTGGCTGGCCAGATACAGGGGAAGCAACATCAGCAGATTGGACAACTACAGGGGACCCAACAGTGGTTGGCTGAGCACTTGGTGAGGATGCAACAGGAACAGGTGGGACCAATACCACTAGAGAGGTGAAAAATTTAGAGCCCCCTGCATAATCCTCAGGAGAAGAATCAAAATCCACTTCCTCATCTTCCAAATCTTCTTCATCAGACCAATCATCGACAAGAACTGGTTAATACTGGGGGATGGATCAGCGTGATGCTGAGGCTCTGAACCATGCGGGGAAGAGATGACATGATGATCAGTACAGGTACGATTAGGGGCTGAAGCATTCGGCGGGCTGTGATTCAAATTTGAATTGTGATGCACTGTAGCATGAACAGTACGAGACAAAGAAGGGGCCGCTAAAGCTAGAACAGTTAAATCATGAAGAAGTTCAGAATTTTGCTATTTCAACTGAGATTTATGGGACCCAGTCTTCTTCTTTTTGTTAGCCATAACTAGAAGGAAGATAAGAAACAGCAGATCATAAGAACGGAGAAAGCAAACAGTGGCAGGAGATTAGTGTGCACGAGGGAAAAGCTTCATACGGAAGGAGAGCATCTCTCTCTAATTTCTCTCTCTAACTGACTCTAACTGAGAGCTCTTTCTTGATGAAAACAGAGCTCTTTCTTTTTTTTTGATCAAATGTAAGAATTATATAGATCAAAAAGAGCAAGGCAAGCTTGCAGAACAGGTTGAAAACCAGCAGAACAAAAAAAAAATATACATATCCAAAACAAAAAAAGGGAACAAACTCCCTTAAACAAACCATAATAAAACAAGCTCACAAATAGAAAGTAGCAGAAACAGAAGACGTAGATGGATCAACCGTAGCTACTGGAGAAGCCCACAAGCTAAAGCCAAAACCACACAAGCTGATGATCATAATAGAGAGCCATGCGGAAAATCCATGGATGATGAATGTTATACGATCCGGATAATCATTCTACCATCCAGATAGAGACAAAACTAGCCATGGAGACAATTACTAGCCATCCATGCAAAGCATGCCCATCCAAGCAGAGACGTAGGGGACCATCCAAGCAAATAAAACCACATGCACGTGGAGGAAGGGCCCTTTCATCATCACATCTAGAGACATGAGCCACAGCCAATTCAAAGATGTCGGCCAACAACTGAATTACCAAGCAAATAAGGCCACATGCACATGGAGGTAGAGCGCTTACATCATCACTTCTAGAGACATGAGAAGTTGTTTGCAGGCACAAAGGTGATCCTGTCTTCTGGGCTTCTGTTGTTTGGGAATAATGGTCCCTTCCAAGACATAGTTTCTGCTTATGGTTGGCAATGTTGGGCAAACTTCGAACAAGAGACCGTCTCCAATTCCTCTCCTCAGATCCTATATGTCCCCTTTGTTTGAATGCAGATGAATCTCATGCCCATCTCTTTTTCAGTTGTGACTGGTCGTCCTTGCTATGGAGAAAAGCCACATTCTGGCTCCAGCTTCACACTAATATACCCTCCTTACCTAGAGCCACTCAGGTCCTACAAAATAATAAAAAAGGTCTTCAAGCAAGAATGAGAAGAGTTTCACTTGCTATTCTTGTTTATCTAATTTGGGAGGAACGAAATAGGCGAATCTTTAACAACGCTAGAAAATCTGTGGAGGCTATTCTCAGGAAGTTTCAGATATTGTTCTACACCGTTCTGTATTTCCATGAAAAAAACCCCTAGCCTATAGTGTTGCTCGTTGAATGATCTATTTGGATGTGCATACCCTGCATGATTCTCCGGTCCCTTCTCTATTGAGCCTCTGTTCTGCATGGGGTAGATTATAGCTCCCACTCGGCCATATAAAATGAAGCATCATGAGATAGCTGCTCCACCCATGCAGAAATGAGGAATCATGAGAGCCCACTACTCCTCAGAAGTTCTTGCATGAGATTGATATTGTCTGCCATGAGTCTGCCACCTAGAAAAGCATTCTGAGAAGGATGAATGATGTCATGCAGAACGTGAGCCAGCCTCCCTGCAAGAATCTTGGAAATAACTTTGTAAGTGATGTTGCAGCATGAAATGGGTCGATAATCTACAGCTGAGTTGGCATTAGCTGACTTAGGGACCAGGGCTATAGTAGAATGATTGATTTGTTTGAGAATCTCCCCTGAAATAAAGAAGTCCTTAACAGCTGAACAAAATTCATCTCCAACAATGCTCCAGGCTTTTTTAAAGAATGCGGAAGTGTATCCATCTGGGCCTGGAGCTTTATTGTCATTCATATTGAAGAGAACTTGTTTGATGACATCAGTAGAGACTGGAGCAAGGAGAAAATCATGGCAATCATCACTAAGACAAGGCCCACTTTGCACCACCTCAGTGCGCAGTGGCATGGTTTGCTTGGAGGTCCCTAGGATCTCTTGATAGTAGGAGACAAAAACTCTACCAACCTCTTCAGTCGAAGAAGTTAGCATACCATCACTTCGGACAATGGCAGGGATGTGGTGTCTTATGTGGCGATGGTTCATTAAAGAGTGAAAGAATCTAGTTCCCTTGTCGCAATCTTTGAAGAAGGCACATTTCAACTTTTGGCCAAAGAACATTTTCTCGGAAGATTTGAGATTAACGAGGTGTAATCTTTGCTGTTTTTCAAGAGCTAGGAGATTACCATTTTCTATGTCGTTCTGTAGAAGAAGCTGAGTGTCATGCAGAAGCTTGGAGGCTCTGGCCACCCTCTCTGAAATATGGCTAAAGTGAAGGCTATTAAGGGACCTTAGGCCTCCCTTTAACTGCTTGAGCTTTCTACAAAGGATATACATATGAGACCCATGAGTATCCAACAACCAATTCTGAGAGACGATTTCTAT